TCATATGTATGTTGTGTGTGCGTGTCTGTATGTATGTAGTGGGGGGTGGGTGACCTGGCCCATTTCACAACGCACCACTCTTCACTCATTCTCTATCCCTGGCTTGCATGTGAACAACACTTGCAAGTAAAGCCTCCATAATGACAAGCTTACTATTAGAAGAGGGGGAAATGTCAATAGACGACATGGCAAGCATGTGACCGGTTGCCAATGAGCAAGAGTTAGGATTTAAAGAAACCAAACTAACACCGTGGTGGTGGTGGGGGGGATTAAATACGATAATGAGATCCAATACGGAAGCCTTATCGAAAATTCTTAATGTATTGAATAGCACTGTCAGAGTGCTCCAGTTTTCATAGAACAAGAGATTTATCGTTGTGGTTTTTAGTCGTTTAAAACGATACTGCGTCAGATTAGTATTTTTGGTTGGCCTCCATAACGGCAGGATAACCAGTAGGTAGGTAGGATTACATGACAATGAAATTATAAAATCAATTTCTAGCCTTTTGACGTCCCCATTGCAGACATATTTCCAAGGCTCTTTAAAATGAGCACACAAAACTTACGGTACTGATTTTTGGGAGTAAAATTTAACTGACGGTAAAAAAAAAAAAGTAAACAAGGTTGTCTTATGCCTGACACGGATCTTAAAGTCAAAAATGTGGCCCCACGAATTCAGACACAGCCTTCTGATTAATGTTGCGTTTGTGGAATATGACTGAAGCAGCAAAATCCACGCGTTTTGATTCATCTCAAGGGGGCGGCCATTTTGCCTCTTGCTGTCGACTGACAATGACATCATAGTTGCTCAGGGTTCGAGGCACAACCAATCACCGCTTACTCACCTCGCATATGTCACATGACCAACTCGGAAAACAGGTGAGTCGTGATTAGTCGCTACCTGAGCCCTGAGCAACTGTGACGTCATTTTCAGTCGACAGCAAGTGGGCAAAATGGCCACCCCAAAAATGGGTGGATTTTGCTGCTTCATTCATAGTTCACAAACGCAACATTCATCAGAACGACAGATGGATACGTTTCACTGTGACGAGCAATGGAGCATACGAACCTCATGAACAGATACTCTTCATTCAGTAAGTGGAATTAGATGAATAGATTAGAGAGGAGCGTAAATGGCCGATGCGACAAGCCTGTGACAGTTTGACAGCGTGTGGAGTGTCACATGCTGCGATGTTGCGAGCGGGGGGGCGGGGGTCGTCAAGTCCACACCATAGTCAACCTTCAAGGCAGCACCGACTTGACCGTGAATCACCGGCCGCACGAGCCTTCACGCTAGGCTGCGATCAATGCCACTTTCGCTGATTGACAAATTGCTAATCATGACTAATCAGAATAATAGGTTGAGCGTTCAACCAGTTGGAAAGTCAAGTCGCTTGTCCAATGCTTGACATTCGCCTTGAAGCATTTGGAACGACACTACAAGAGTGTTCTTGTGTTCAACGGTCACGTCGGCGTCAAATGAAATAGTTAGCAGTGTTGCCTGGAGACTGACGCGGTAACGTTCATGTAAACGGAGCTCACTTGCCCACACGACAGACTTGGCTTCATCAAGACGTGCACTGGTGTGGCTGCTCATACATGTAGACTCATGAAAGGACAAACAATATCGTGAATGGGTGGCTGGATCGATAGAGGTGAAAAGATAGATATGGTGGATATAAAAAAAAAAAAAGTCTACACACCTTTGTTCAAACGCCAGATTATGATATGATATGCTGTAACCAAGATGAATCATTTCAAAACCTGATCCAGCCTTCATGAGAGCTCGGACATGTTTGACATGTGGTCAGTACGGAGTGAATCATGATCAGTTCAAAAGAAAATGTCAGGAAAAGACCCTGCTTGACTTCTTCATTTAGCAGCCCGGTGTGTCTTTGCATGTTCTCCCCGGGCCTGCGTGGGTTTTCTCCGGGTACTCTGGGTTTCCTCCCACATTCCAAAAACATGCATGGCAGGCTGCATTGTCCCGAGCCCCGCGACCCTTGTGAGGATAAGCGGATCGGAAAATGGATGGATATCTAATAACAAACAAACTGGTGACTGGGATGGACGAATGGATAGAGATGCGTACAGACACAAATGGATGAATGGTGGAAAAAAAGGCTGTAAAGTGAAAAGGAGATCAACCGGCAGATGTTTGTTTGTTTTTTTTAATTTATAAATTCAATTCAATTTTTATGTTGCACCAGGTTTTTTACTGCGAGCGTGTGATGCAGACTTTCGGTTAGCAGGCTTTTTTTTTTTTTTACCCCTGGCGGTGGGCGTGGTAGCGCACGAGTGTGTTTACACCCGCTCGCTGTAGTAGAAGTAAACGCACACAAGAAGCAAACACACGGGCTACACATGAGTGGGCGGGGCTACGAGCGGTCGCGACGCCGTCCAATCGGCGCCCAGTAAACCAAACACTGGCTGCGCTTGTCGACCAATGGCGCTCGCCCCCCCCGGAAGCCCTCCGCCAATGGGCGGACCCGATGACGTGGGCACGTGGATCCCGGCACATGTTGACGCTCGTAAAGTGAGCCGAGAAAGAAAGAGCGAGCAAACACACACGCGCACACACATACTCACACACGTACACACCCACGATCACACACACGTACACGGTCTCACATACATACACACACGGCGACTCACGGCCGGCCCGAGTGGACGTGGACGTGTGCGACTCTGTCCAAGCCGACGCCGGTCGCCCAGATGCTGCTCACTTCGCCCATTGCTCACTGACGGAACCAGTTCGGAGCAAGAACAGCTCGTATTGTTCTTTTTTTTTATCGTGAATACACCGGGCGGAGGGTAAGTAACGTCATTTTTCAATACGTCGGGTGGGGGGCTTCCCGAAGTTGGCAAGCGAGCCGCATCCTGTTTGTCCGCCTTCTACAACCTTAGAAGACAGACACAGTTTTCTTTCCGTGGGGGGCAGAATCAAACAGCATAAAACAACATACTCAACAAAATTCTTTCTGTCTATGCGATGCATGTTCCTAACATGGTTTTTATTTCCACTGTTTGAATTATTGTGTTTTCTTAGTTCAATGCATAAACACTTTTTAAAATGTATTTTTCTTTGCTAAGCTTAGCATACAATAATCAAAAACAAACTGTCCATGCAAATTGGTGTTCTGGTACATTTTAGTTTTATTTCTCTCATTGGCTGACCGTGGATTTGTTCGAAATAGTTAAATTGTATTATTTAAATGAATTCGTCGGGATGAATTAAAAATCTCATCCGAAAAAAAAAACGTGTGTTCTATAGCTACAAGTCCAAAGCGATGGACTTTCAATGCGTGTCAACTGAAGTGGGCGTGACATGTGAGTATCCTTGTGACCTCCCCCAGGGCTCAGGGTCCGGCAGGGATCACTCCCAGAGAAAGGAATGGTCCGGGGGTGGGGAACCTAAGCGAGAGCATTTGGTCAGGACTACGGCGCAATTCTAAAATGACTAAATTCCTCTCTGAGAAGGTGGTTTAGGAAGCCTTCACACATTGAACCCCCAAATGCTTGACATTCTGTTAACATGGACTCCCATTTTTCCTAAATATTATTGAAGGAAGTGGCGGAAGGAAGACGTAGAGGAGTGGCCAGCTCCAGTGCGTACACAAGAGGATGAGGAAGATGAGATGAGAGGCATGCAGAATGCACCCAGAGAGGAAAGAGAGCAGTTTGTGTGTGTGTGTGTAAAGGGAGTGGGGGTGGGGGTCTTGTGTTCAGGAAGGGGGGCTAGGATGGAGCTTCAGCCAGAGCCGGCGAGGGCGGCGCTACAAGCCGAGCACTGGAGGCTGTGAAAGAACGAGACTGCCTATTCTGATTCCGCTACGCTCGGACTCCCATCCCCCCGCTCACATTTTTACTCTTCCGTCTCCAATCTCGTCAATGGGAGCGAGACATGTGCTAGCATTGTGTGCCGACTGGCTGCCCCCCATGCCATGTTAAAGTAGGACACCACCATTTTGTGAAGCGACACATGAGCACGTGAGCGTTTGGATGTAATTTGCTTGTGTCCCCCTTTTGACAGAGATGCAGTCCCAGGGCAGCACGTCGTCCCAACCCTCCTTTGACTCGCTGAGCTCCAGCGACAGCCTCCTGTTCAGTGACTCGGACGACACCGACGTCTTCCTGACCGACGCCTCCTCCTCGGCCCTCCTGGAGGCGGCGGCGGCGGCAGGGGGCCCGCCGGCAACGGCCGGCAACTCCGGCCGGGCGTCCGGGAGTCCCAGCTCGCAGTGGGCGTGCGACGGCTTCGCCGGCAAAGAGGAAGAGGACGGCTCCTTGCCACGCCAGGTTCCCAAATCGCAGGGCGACCTGCTGTTTGCTCAGAAGGTGAGACCCGGCCCACCTCTGAAGAGACGGCGAGGACGGCTGGCGCTAATCAATTTCTCTACCGCTTGCTGTCACAGTGTGCTGAGCTGCAGGGTTTTGTCAGGCCACTGCTGGAGCTGCTGAACGGGCTGAAGAAGGGCCGATTTGATCGCGGTAAGTGTTGCACAAGCGGTCGCTGCTTGTGGCTCAGTCTTTCTCAACCTTCCTTAAGCTCGGGCCCATAATTTACATGAGAAAAATTTCACAGTGCACCGCCAAACAAAAAATGTCACAAAAAGTTGACAGTGATTCCCAACTGATCGATGTGAAGCCCGGACTTCCTTCTCCCCCGCCACTTTATACAACACTTAGGGCCTCTAGCATGTCCCGGTTCTTTTTCCCTGGGCCTCATTCCCCATAGAACACCTTACTAGAGAGACATAGGCGTCAAAGATCCATCCTAAACAGATGCCCGAGCCACCTCATCCGTCATCACTCGATACCGAGGGGCAGCACCTGTACAATGTTATGTCGAGAGAGCAGATGTAGAAAAGTTTACCCCCATCACGGGTTGCGAGTTCATAGTCCCGCTATTGCACAATTTTTTTTGGGGGGGAGGGCGGTGCGGTATAGTTTGTAACTTTTATTTTGCTTCCCATTTATTTTGAGTGTAATACCACTGTTGACCACTGGATGGTGGCACACTTTTGTTTGTATTTCAAGCTCAGTCTGTTTTTTGCAGGACAATATTGACTGTGAAATCCTCTCCCGTCCTGCTTTTTCTGCCAACAGAAAGTGGCTGCTGTTGGCTCATTTTGTATATTACATCTTTGGGGATAATGATAAACGTATATTGTGAAATAAATCTCTGATTTATTTGGGATAAATCAGAGATGCAAGTAAACTGTTCTCGGTGAATTCTTTGCGCTGATTCCGAATCTGCCCTGATTTTTACTTGAGCTACCTATCAGTTCATAAAATAGGTAATATTCATGTTGTTGTTTTTTCGTCAGGGTTCGTTTAAGGTTGCAGAAGATTCCAAAGACCTTCGCCAGACATTGGCAAAAAGTTTTAACAGTCGCAAACAATTTTTCTTGTCAAAAAGAAATTTGGAACATGTTCAAAATTCAATCTGGTACGACGGCTTTGCTCTGTCATGACTGCGAGGTCTCGGCCCAAATATTGATTGAGGGGAGGGGTTATGTTTGTGATTGACAGGTCTGAGCAGTTTCCAGCAGAGCGTCGCCATGGATCGCATCCAGAGGATTGTGGGTGTTTTGCAGAAACCAAACAGTGGGTAAGATGGAGCCCAAACCCCAACACCATAGAGTATATCAGATATTCATGCATGTATTTGTTGATATGTTTCACGGTATTTATTTCATCACAGTAAACTACTCAAGAATATTACATGTACTGTAAGCAATTTCCACAAAACAAAACGGATGTCCAGATGTGTTTGCAGACGTTCCCTTCATGGAATGCATGTGTGTGTCTCATTATTCAGGGAACGGTACCTCAACACGCTCCTCCAGGTGGAGATGATGTTGAAGCTGTGGTTTCCACAGATCGCCACCGTCCCGCCGTCGTCCGTCCCCGGTACTGCCGCGTCGTCCGCCCGTGTCATCCAGGACGCACCGGGCGCCACGCCACCACACAAGCACAGGGATCAACTGCATATCCCGGTCAAGGTGAGCACAAGCTGCTGCCGCACAATGGAGAGTTCAACACAAATGGTTGAGCAACACACGTAGACATGTAGAAACAGTGGACTCCCACTACTAGCGAAGGATAGACTCCGGTCTGACTCGCGATTACTGAAAATCCATGTATAAGTGACACCCATCATAAATGCTAAATTTGTTTTACTTTTTTTTTTTTTGAGGAGGTTGGGGGGACCAGTGTAATTCCATATTTATTTTTAGGCACATGTGAACATATGTGGAATGTCAGCTCACATTTTCAAGGAATGAAACATCGGAAAAAAATACATTGACACCCAAACTTATGTGTGCTCATGGCGTGAAATGACATGACAGGTCTGTATTAACAGTGAAAAAGTCAAGTCTGATAATAGAAGTATGAATTAAATTGAATCTTTAAGTAATGATGCTCAAACGTTTTCCATTCTTTACTTCTATTTTAATAGTAATTATTTTTAAGTCACATTTCATTTTTAATCATATATTTTTCTTCATTTATCATGTTTTTTTTATTTCTTATTTAGAATTTTGAAATATGTCCAATTTTTTAAAACTTTTTTTTACTTTTACTATTGCATTCATTTCATGTTGAGAGAGGATTTCCTAAGAATATTTTTGCATCACTTTGTCATTCATTTGTTTTTGTATTTTTTTAAAAAATATTTTTTTATATTTTCCTGTCCAATTTAAGCCTTTCAGGGACAGCGGTTACTCCAGTGGACAGCTTATCATGTTGCCAGGTTACAGGGTGCATGAAAGGGTTCATATACGTGGGGCAAAAAAGGTTGGGGACCCCTGCTCTAGGTTCCACGCGCTCTTTCTCTCTCTCTCTCTCTCTCTCTCTCTCTCTCTCTCTCTCTCTCTCACACACACACACACGCAATTGATTGGGAAATGACTTTGGCATTGACTTTTACAGAAACGCCGACTCAGCTGGACAGGAACCGACTCTCCGATGCCCTCTCCAGGTCTCCCTAAGTGCCCTCCCATCAGCGCACAAGAGAAAAAGCACCAAGATGACAGTGAGGAAGAAGACACAGGAGCCCCAGCAGGCAGCCCCTGTCCCCCTCCCCCTCTCCCTCCTCCACCTCCTCCTCCTCCTCCATCGTCATCGCCACCGTCACCGTCGCACCAAAATCCCGCAAAGGGAAACGACAGTGGCTCTGACAGTTCAGGCAACCCGTCGGAGTACAAAACGGCTCGTGTGTCGGAGCCCAGCCTCACATGGGTGCACGTCGCGCCCATTCTCTCCCCGCGGAAAACGGGCGCATTGGCGGTCGGCAGCGGGGAGGCCACGCAGGACAGCGCCGTGTCCTCCACCACGCCGCCTGAGCTCAGTAAGGATCTAAAGAAAGCCGCACGCTGCCAAAGCCAAGCTGCCGCCGCCGCTGTTGACGATCGTCGGCAGGAAGACCATTAGGACCGGGACACTCCCTCGGAGACCTGAGAGCAGAGCGGCGCCGGAGGAAATCAAACGCGTGTTGATAATCACAACTAGTGTCAAAATGTGCAAAGAAACCATGGAGGAGGATTGCAAGTAAACTGAAATCTCAACAAAAAAAAAGAATGGAGCACTTCCTGTCAGGAGAGGAAGTGACGGACGATGTCACCTTTTACGGGTTGTAGATAGACATGACAAGGAACAAAAAAGGAAATGGCATCCATGCTATACTGGACAAGTGATCCGTTCAAGGACTCTGGGGAACAACGTCATCAACTCACGAATGTAATCGGAGAACACGTCGGCGTGAAAGCGCTCCCATCGTTAATTTATCTGTCTGTTGATCTGACACTGCATTTATTTATTATTCTTGGTATTTATTTTTCAGGCAGCTGAGGAAAACGCACAGTGAGGGCGTCAACTATTTTTTACGACATTGTTGACATGTGTGTTTTTCTTTTTCACCCGTCGGACTACTGTGCCTTTTACCAAATAGGATGTGTTTATTTTTTTGTTTTTCAAAAGGAACAATTGGTGCTTGGAGTGCATTTGTATTACATTTTGATTGTTTGCTTTCACAACAAAAAAAAAAAAAGAAACACACAACACATCTTGACAGTAGTCGCCTGAACCTTCAAACTTCGAAACATGACATAACAGCAACATGCGCTCTTGTTAGCCTAATAGCATAAATTTTTTCAACATTTTCAGAAACAAGTACGGGGTCCGGTTACTGCAATGAAACTTTTGCCCAGCATCATGACACACCACTTATTTTTATCGATACAGTATCGAGTTCAAAATGACATGGGGAAATTATGCTAGCAAGCTAACGATTGGTAGCCTACTAGCCTGATTGCCCAAAACATTTTGGAAATTGGCTTCAATCTTTTGCGTATTACCACAACCCGGATGACTGACAAGCTACACATATGTGGAGAACAAATTGACGACTTCAGCAATTGCGCTGTTATGCTAACGATCTACCACAAATCGATTCCACAAAAACGCCTCCATCTTGTCAGCAGAGGCTATTCTGCTAGCCTCTTTTTTGTTGTTGTTGTTTTTTTTCCCTCCTGTCGGCTCCTGCCCGAATCGAGGGACCGAAGGAGGTGCACTGAAGGCTGGTGCAACTGCGAAACTTGAAATGATGAAAAAAATGTAAACAAACTTGTCTTGACTTGCCAGCAGCAAGCAAGCGAGCGAGCGACGCTTCCTTCCTCCTCCTGTGCTGCTAACCCACATTGGAACACCCGAGTCCAAACATGGAGGAGGAGTGCCGACCGCAGCGTCGTAAACCAGCAACTCATGCAAAAGTGCTACAAATATTTCCACTCAACTATTTTTCAAAGTATTTCCAGCGAGCGAGCAAGCGAGGCGGCCGAAATGCAAACGCCTTCACTTTATTTCCATTTGGATGTTTTGTTTCACATTATTTAGATTTTTAAAATTATTTTGATTGATTTTTTGTTTACATTTTTCTTTTTTTTATTAAACATTATTTTTGTTTTATTTTAAAAAAATTGTTTGTTCCAATTATTGTTGAATTTTATTTTGTATTGGATTATTTCCCTTGGATTAATTTTTTTGGGGGTGTGTTTGGTTGAATTTGATTTTATGTCTATTTTATCAAACATATTTCTCTTTGTCGTTGACTTCAGGTTAGTTGTTTATTTTTTTTTGTTTATTTCCCATTTTTGTTCATTTTATTTCTTTGTTCTATATTTGAATTGATTGAGTGTTTTTGTTAGTTTTTTTGTTGAATTAAAAGATTAATTTGTTTTATTTTTTGAATTGTTGATTTTTGTTCAATTGTAACCAGTGATTTTTTTTTAATGATTTGAATTGTATTTGAAGTGTATTTTCTTTTCTTTTATTTATTTTGTTGATTTGAGTGGCTCCTTTGGTGGTCGCGAGGCATCTTGCAAGCCTTATTACAAGCGAGTCTGTCTCAAGAGCCTCCCCGCGTCCATCGGACGCCGACTCCTCATCAGACTCTCGCGTTTGAGAATTTTGTATTTTGGGGGATTTGATTTCCACTTTTTTTTCTACGGCCAAGGCGTGACCGATTGATTGCACTTACTTTTTTTTTTTTTTTAACGACTGTTTGGGAAACATTTGGGAATCTTGTAGCCTTTCTTATTCACTTGTTCTACTACTTTCCTTTAACACTTGACCCCTCCTCCCAGCTCACGGCTCACCCCCCACCCACTTGTACTTCACTCCCGCCCCCCAATCCTGTTAGTTTTCCAGTCTTTGGTTCACTTTCACTCATTACATGCTCTGGCTACATTTTTTTCAATAATCACACAAATGGAGAGTTTGGGAATAAAATGACTTGTTTTTTTCCAAAGCTGAATTAAGAACTCGTGTGATGTTTTTCAAAGGGGCAGACAGCAAGCAGATGTGACGCATTGGGGGTGCACATTAAGAGGATGGACATTTTCGAGCGCGTGTGACTTCAACCTCCATAATCTGATGGCGGGAGGAGGTGGGGCGGGTGCCTCCTACCAGCTGCCAAAGCAGAACACAACACTTGCTCTTGTGTGTGTGTGTGTGTGTGTGTGTGTGTGTGTGTGTGTGTGTGTGTGTGTGTGTATGTCTTCGAATACGTCACTTTTATGTGTAATGTTGAGGTAATTTGCAGGGATTTGAGGGTGGGTCGCTTTAAACACTAGCTAGGCATCAGTCAAAAGCCCTGAAACGACAACAAAACAATTGAATGAAAAACAATACCATTAAATTGAATGAAAGAAACCCAATCAGTCAAGAACAAACAGACAAAAAAAAATCAAGCAAAAACAGAAAAATAAATGAAGACCAAGTGTAAAAATAAAACGAATCGACACAAAGTAAAAAAAAGGTAAAACTGAAACAAAACAAAAGCGATTCATGACAACTGACAAATTTGAGGAAAAGACTAAATTAAAATCAAAAAAATTGAGAAATAAGCTAAAATACAAAAGAAAAATGCAGAACCAATCTGCAATAAGTAAAAGATAAATATGAAAGCTAATCACAAGACAAAAAAGTTAAAACATCAATTACAAGTGAACAATTGTCATCACTCTTGGCAGAGGATAAGAAATACACTCCCATGGGTATTTTTGTATTGTCTGGATACTTTACCAATTGTGTTTATGAGCCTATCTATGATGCTTTTCATTGTTTTCTAACAAACGTCATTGATGTTTTAAATACTTTGTCTGGTGTTTAGTTTGACAGTAAACATCAACAGGGAGTGGCAAGAATCAGCTCGAAGACGCCTTTTGGAAAAACTGCTCACAATCTGCTGCTTCTTGTCAAGTCAGTCGAGGTGAGTTGGCTGCCACCTTGCAGCTCTTCTTGTATTGCAACTCAAAGCAAAAAAAAAAAAAAAACAGTCCGAATGTCGGCCCACTCAGATCTCAAGGCGGTATGGTATCCAGAAATAGGGTGCGAATAGCCGAATGCTGACATTGCCTCGAGCTGGCGGGGTAATTGCCCTCGATTGTGAATATACGTAATTCTGTATGTGGAATGTTTTGCAAGAAATTGGAGCTCGGGGCACAGTCTGGTGCGTGCGGGCGCGGGAGTGGCACATTTTCTGAGGGTGTGGTTTAATGCCCCCAACCACCCCTCCCCCGCTTGCTCTGGATGAAATCAGCCATGCCTCACACGCACACCGAGAGTACATAAAGTCGTAAGAAATGCACCGATATTTCACTCACGCACACATACAGAGTGGAGAGAGAGAGAGAGAGACCCGAACCGTTGTGTGATGTGCGGATGGGCCAGCCTTGTGACACAACACAACGGAATACCCAACCCCCGCTCGGCCCCCCCTTGTATCCATGCAGTT